GGAAACGACGTTATCCAAACACCACTTAGCCCAAGAGATATACCAACAACACCAAGTACCCTGCTGCCGTCAAGTTCGCTATTTTACAAATTAAAATCACCAGACAATACTCTATCCAACTTCACTAACATCAAAGCTTCGTCGTCCACAAGTCTTAGTAGTCTCCAGACTATCGAGAATGGATGGTCAACAAACCCTCAGAGTGAAGACGTTGGGAATTCATCGTCCCTGTTTGAGGGCACTTCGGGGCTGGGGTCACCAACAAGGCCTCAGACGGCTTTGAGTACAGCGACTGCTTCTGTTACAGGTCTGAATTCGTCCAGAAAGTGGGAAAATGATGAGGATGTAGTTGAGTGCCGAAGATGTTTCAAAAAGTTTGGGTTTATAACCCGAAGGCATCATTGCAGGTTTGTTACAAATTATGACAATAATATTATATATTTACGCTTTTTTGATCATTGCCGTTATGTCTTCTCTCATGCTGTTCTTTTGTTTAAACCCCAATATCCTCACCTTTGTGTCTGACGTTGTTTACATGCACACAAACTTTCTCCTTCCATTTTAGGAAATGTGGACAAGTAGTATGCGATCGCTGCTCGACAGCTCGCGTCCCGCTTCCTCCAAACCAAGTCCTCCGGGACCCATCAGAAGTTACAGATACAAGCACATCATCATTCTACCGTGTTTGCGATTCCTGTTTTCGCACAATCGATTTACACAATCGACAACGATCTGGTAGCACAGCAGCATCCATCAACTCCACCAGTTCAGTGTCCCGACAACGACGACGTGACAGTTCCAGTTCGATATTTGACTGTCCAGTCTGTGGTGTTCAGTTGAAGGACATTCCGGGTGGAAAAGCCGCTGAAGAGGAACATATTAAGAACTGTCTAGAGAGCAAGAATGGAAACAACATTAGCGGGTATAAATATGTGGGTGAGCAAACCGGTTTTTGTAATTAACGCAAATACGAATACTGGATAAAGGTCCTACTAAACCACCTCTTGTCCGGCGATATATCAAAATAATATCACAATATACATAAATTGCATATTTCTCCCCTTTTTCATAATATTTTGGATCTTCGCGCGAACCTTCCATCAAACTCGTTGATCTCCCTCTCGATGGCTGCTATTTAATATGATTGCAAATTTGTGACAGTTTACAGCCTCCCTAAAGACTCCCCACTCCTGGGCCAAGAATGTCCCATTTGTTTCGAAGAATATGTTTGCGGTATGAAAAGAGGGTTTCGGAAGTTGAGGCGTTGTGATTTTGTTTACAAAAGACTTAAAGAGCATCTTGTATTATTTTCTGTAATATTCCACTTTCGTGTTTATATTGTCCTCTCTTCTTTTTTTTTTTTACTATACTTCCATCTATATATTAATTATTCCCCATTAATTAGGCGACTCCGTAACTCGGCATAACTGTCTATGTTCGTATCACCATCACTGTATAAGAGAATGGTTTGCGCGAGGGAAGGATTGTCCTATCCATTGCCTCTGATATATGATTGTATTTTTTTTTCGTTCATTTTATTTCATACGGTACTCGCTGTATTTACACGTTAATTGCACAGTAAACTTTTGCATGTCTATAGTATCGATTTCAAGATTCGGAACAATACCCTGTGAAAGTGGTTTGTTAAAAATTTGTGATATTAATTTTATATGTACACATGGTCTCTGTCA